CATCCTTCGTCTACTGAGCACATACCGTGCCCTAGACATCCTTTGTCTACAGAGCACATACTGTGCCCTAGGCATCCTTCGTCTACTGAGCACATACCGTGCCCTAGGCATCCTTCATCTACAGAGCACATACTGTGCCCTAGGCATCCTTCGTCTACTGAGCACATACCGTGCCCTAGACATCCTTCATCTACTGAGCACATACTGTGCCCTAGACATCCTTCGTCTACTGAGCACATACCGTGCCCTAGACATCCTTCATCTACTGAGCACATACTGTGCCCTAGACATCCTTCGTCTACTGAGCACATACCGTGCCCTAGACATCCTTCATCTACTGAGCACATACTGTGCCCTAGACATCCTTCGTCTACTGAGCACATACCGTGCCCTAGACATCCTTCATCTACTGAGCACATACTGTGCCCTAGACATCCTTCGTCTACTGAGCACATACCGTGCCCTAGACATCCTTCATCTACTGAGCACATACTGTGCCCTAGACATCCTTCGTCTACTGAGCACATACCGTGCCCTAGACATCCTTCATCTACTGAGCACATACTGTGCCCTAGACATCCTTCGTCTACTGAGCACATACCGTGCCCTAGGCATCCTTCATCTACTGAGCACATACTGTGCCCTAGGCATCCTTCGTCTACTGAGCACATACCGTGCCCTAGGCATCCTTCATCTACTGAGCACATACTGTGCCCTAGGCATCCTTCGTCTACTGAGCACATACCGTGCCCTAGACATCCTTCGTCTATCGAGCATTGAAGTATGCCCTAGACTGATCCTTTTCTACGCCTTAGACCTTCCCTTTGAATTAAAATTTAGGATCGTATGAAACAGTAAGATCTAGTATTGATATTAATCAAAAACCTCTTTTCCATAACTAAAAACTCGACCCCTTAATAAAACCATTTTAATTCCACCTAATTCCAATTCTTATAAATAGTTAATATTTTCTCTTAATTTCTTCTCTTATTATAATATTTTTCTTCAACTATTTCTCTAACTCTTATTATTTAAATTTAAAGCATTACTTTACTATTGAATCACACATGAATATTTGCGCATGCGTATATTCCTATATCTAACACCCAGTAAAATCTCTAGTAAAGGTTAGTTCCGTGCCTAACGTCATTCCCCTAGAATCCACCAGATCAGTTTTAGCTCTCGGCGTCCCTGGGGTATAGCCGGTGGAAGCAGGTTGCCCTATAAAAATAGAGAGCTATCCTTTTCTCACTAACTAAGGCATAGTAAGAAAAGAGCATTGTCGAGACGTAACACCACCAAGCTCCCAGCCAGCGACCTACATAGTAATTAAACTTACGATACATAAAAAAAATCAGCTTAATTTGCTCTTTCATGATATAAATTTTTTATAATTTCCTCTATTTTAGTTTTTTTATAAATAAATGATAAAGTTAATAACAATGTAAACGTCAATATAAAATATAAACGAAAAACATTAGAATTTGAATGTTCTCAAGATACAGAATAATTGCTCCTTTTTTGTTTGAATTTGCTCTACCTTCAAAAATTAATTTTCTACAGTATTTATCAAGAAAAAAATTAATAATTGCTTAATACATTTTGCGGGATGCCAAGACATTGTGCGCATGCGCACAAGTATTTAGTAACCACCGGTTAGTTCTAGAGTGTTACTACTGCGCGACTAGTTAGTTCTAAATAAGCTTTCTGATTGGTTGGTCCAAGGAACCCTCAATTCCTTGCGCAATCGATTATAGATATATATTGCAGAGAACGGTTAGTGCCGATCTACAATAGATGGTTTAAGCCCTAAGCCTTAAGAAATTGACTAATCACAGTCGAGTATTCTCCTCATACTTGATTATGATTGGTCAATTTCTTAAGGCTTAGGGCTTAAGGGCCAATTTCACCAAGTCCGGTTAGATTAACCGACGGTTAAAATTAGCAGAGTGGCCAACAGAAAATAGAGGTGAAGGAAAACCAAGCATTCATATAATTTCAGTTGGAACCCTGCTAATTTTAACCGTCGGTTAATCTAACCGGACTTGGTGAAATTGGCCCTCAGTGCAAGTAACCGCACTCGGGTCAGTATTAAACTACGCGCTCCAAACATGTGCGTCTAGTAACAAAAAGTTACTAGCCGCTGAAACGGAGCGAGTGCACATCAATCGAATTCGCCATATGTTTGTTACACGAAAATACCTAGGGATTGAATCCTTTGGAAGTGTTGCCAACACAAAATACGTAGCGGCTTTTCAATTTCACATGGAAACATTGGTCGCGTTCAATAGAGAAAACCGCTTAGTAGCAATCGAATGTGATTGGTTCTTACTTTTAGAACCAACGAATCAACGTCAAGTGTTGACAAGACGATAACTGAGCGCTTTCTCTGCTGAACGCGGCCATCGGGCTTTTTGTTTACGACTGATAATTTGACAGTCGTCGTGAAATTTAGCGAAATCTCGTGAGATATGGAAGACAAGTCGCTTAATGAGCAATCTATAGAAAGCACAGGTCTCTTAGCGTAACTTATTATCGAGAAATTTAATCAAGTAATTTATTATTCTAATTTTTATTGCAGATATCAACCAGGATGAGTTGATACTTCAACAGCAAAGACGTATCGAGAAGGAGGTTAATATGCCTATATCATATTCAAAGTGTCGATTTTTTAGAAATCCATCGAGATCTTGTTGAAAATATATATTTTTTCACACGATTAAAAATTAAATGTCTCACATATACTTAGATATTAGAATCTTATTCTTAAAAAATCAATTTTGTTTCTATGATAATTTTAACAAACTATAAAGAATATTTATTTATATATTACAATCATATTTACAATTCATTATTTAATTACCATAGCTACATGTAGATACTAATGTTCTTTAATGATAGATTCTATTGCCTGGTATTAATGTATACGACTATTAGTTTTTTTTTTTTTAATGTAAAGAAAATGTTCTTGTAAAAGATATTTTCATATTTCTAGACAATAATTATTTTTCATATTTCAGATCTCAGAATCTATAGCTTTAGTTGGTGAGAAGGAATCATTGAAGAGCTTAGAACAAGAGTATGCGAAAGATGATGTATATCTTTCGAAAACGAAAGTCTTGGCTCAAAAATATTCTTACATTAGGAGAACCAGACCCGATGGCAATTGCTTTTTCAGGGCATTTAGTTATGCTTATTTGGAAAAATTAATCGGGAATAAGGAGGAATATGATAAATTTCGAGATCTAGCATTAAAGAGCAAAGATAACCTTGTAGCTCTAGGTTTTCCTCAATTTACAGTCGAAGACTTTCATGATACGGTGAGAGTTTCTGTTTTTTCACAAAACTTTAATATATATATATATATATCAGTGTATCGGTTTAATGCAAATTACAAGAATTTGTTTTCTAAGAAAATATACATATATTAGGTCTACCGGAAAGTTCTGTCCGTTTCTATCACAACAAGTCTCGACACGTAAGCACATGTTTGAATACAAATTGCCCTCACGCTGGCAAGAAATCATTAATAATAATGGCAATTACATTATTTAATAAAGTTTATTGACGGTAATAAAAATTTGTATTTTGTTTTATTCCAAAAACGGACAGAACTTTCCGGTAGACCTAATATTATATTCTAAAAATAAATGTAAATTGATTTTGATGAATTACAGTTTATGGAAGTCATTGATAAAGTAGGTGGTGACACAGAGTCCAGTCAGTCCAGTCAACATAAATTGTTCAATGAACAAGGTTATTCTGATTATGTTGTTGTCTATCTTAGATTAATTACATCTGGTCAGCTGCAACAGCTGCAACGCTTCTATCAACACTTTATTGAAGGGGATCGCACTGTTACAGAATTCTGCCATCAAGTTTGTATCTTGATATTAACATTCATATTTTTATTCTCATATTTGCATGATTAATTCTTTTATATTAACATTAAATTTATAACAAATATACATTTATATTTTTTGTAGGAAGTTGAACCAATGTATAAAGAATCTGACCATATTCATATTATAGCAATGAGTAGTGCTTTAGGAACTGGTGTTAGAGTTCGTTATATGGATAGAGGTGCAGGAACTGAAGTAACTGCCCACGATTTTCCTGAAGGCGCCATACCAGCTGTGCACTTATTATATCGCCCTGGTCATTATGATATTCTTTATCCTTGATGAATTTGGCATTATGCAAATTTTTCTAATATTACAAAAATGATTTTCGATGACCAAATCTATATTTAAAATTCAATTTTTAAAAGCATCTGAATTATAATGCATAATGCACTACAATATATTCTCTTTAATTTAGTAAGAGAGAAATAAGTTGGTTTTGTGTACACAAAGAGTTTGTGCATTGTGTATATTTTTCAAAATCTACCTAAGTGCATTTTCATAAATTCATTATCATACCTGTTATTTCTATACATAAGCGCATAAAACACAAAACATTTTAAACTTTAAAATTAATTATCTGAAATAAATGGCAGAGAAATCGACAAATTGTGCTATTTAATACCTATATTTTTTTTTTATTTTCTCTTCCAATAAATCCATGCAGGAGGTATTACACAAATCATATTATTTATACTGTACATTTGTAATACAAAATAAATGATATTTTGTTACTATAGTATTATTTATTAAATAATATATGTAATATATGCTCTTTCTTTTTTTTCTTTATATAAATGTATATATTCTTTATAGAAATGAAAAACATTTTATAAATTTTGTACATTTGGTAATATGAAAAATCTATTATGGGAGTTATGTGAGTTACGTATAAACAAATTATTTCTTTTTAAATTATCTATTCTCAAACTTAAAATTAATAATTAACAAATTCTGCGATATATAAGTTTTATATTATACACACATACACACACATATATATAGATCCTGTAGAGAGATGTTTATTTATACATACAAGGGCTGCCCATAAAGAAACCGAATTTTAAAAAAGCGCTCGAATGCGATGGCGTGGGCCATCCGCCTTGTGGCACTGTATAGTGGGGTTCTTTAATAACTCTCTCACACGCTATCGTTCTTAGTTTATATTTTATGATGGCTTGAATGAAATTGTGTCCAGCGTTTGTGGCGATTTTTTGTTTTTGGAAAAGTGCGTAGGGGTCCCATAGCGAATTTTTCTTAATCTCTTCTATTGTTTAAAAACTGTGGCCTTTCAAGGTCGATTTTAGTTTTTTTAAACAAGAAAAAGTCCGCAGGAACCAAATCGGGAGACTGATGGGGGGTAATTAACCGTGTTTTCGTGAGTGTCATGCAAAAGTGTCATAAAAGGGCAGCAAAGGAGAAGCAAGAGGGGAAAGAGAGGCATTGGGCGACAGCGAGGAGTAACTGTGAGATGAGTAATTTACAATTTATTTAATTTATTTTATTTGTTATTTTTTAAATTAAACGTCTCTTTCCACAGTAAGTGATCAATTTTATATTAATGCATAAATATAGTGTGTGTGTATATATAAATATAAAATATTCTCCGTGTATCTCTTACATATTTTCTAATTTATATAAAAAAAAAATCTGTCTTCTTTAAAAGTATCTTTCCAATTAACTTTATTTATTGTTAAATTCTCTTGCTCGCATCACAAAAAAAGAAGAGATAGAACTTACATTAAAGATATCGCTCACAACAGAGGTATAATCTGGAATCGAACGTTAGTTATTTTAGCGAGTTCAAACGCTCCAAGTTTTTCCAATTAATCTCAGTCCAGTCAGAAGGAAAGCGTTTGTGTTTTATTAACGACAAATAAACCGACGTTTTGATCCAAGGGTCTCTGATCGCAGTTCGAAATAATTGAAATTTAAGACGCGAAACGAGCGTACGAGCGGTGACTCTTCCTCGTCGTTGCCTCGACTCGATTCGATCCAATTAAGCGCGGCCCCGAGGGTCCCACGGAGTGCTGTCGGGAACTTCGATTCTCTTTTCGCCCTACTCTCTTCCCTCCTCTTTCTTTCCTTCTTCAGTCACTCCTGTCTTCCTGGAGACCTTTACTGTGTTAAAGAGGCGACATTCGAGTGCGAGCAAAAACTGGTCGAGACAACGAAACACGCTCCCATCTTTCCTGCGCGCGATATTCGTTACCTTAATTACATTCGGAACGTAAACCGCGTAATCAAAAAGGACGGCTTTACCTGCTCGCGAAGAACATTTTTCGACACGAAAAACGAAGTTTCGCGAAGCGACGCCTGATAAATTCGGTCTCGTACCTTTGTAAGATTTCACGTCGTTATATTTCTTATCATCGAAGATACTTCATTATGCGTTTGACACTCTACAAAATGTTTTTCATCGACCGTGTTTATTACGATAGAATAAATTTTATTAACAATCGATATAATTTTTATAATTTATGACACAATCAAATTATTTTGTCCAATTTTATTTTAATTTTTTATTTCTATTTTTTTGATAAAATTAGTCATTAATATTTTTCGAAATATACATTCGTCTTGTTTGACATTTGCTCGTAAAAAAGTGATACGATTAATCGCGAGATTAATCATCGTATAGTTAAGGATCTCGGTATTAATATGAGCAATAAAGATGAGTCATCATCAATGTTTCCAAGATTCTCTTCCGCCTTATTCTTGTTTCAATCTTGAGGTCGACATTTAGTTTTCGAAGGAACAAACGGGCAAACGCGAACTACAAGTAACGTCACCTCCATTAATCTTCCTCCTGCTCGGATTAGATTTAACCTAAGGGATTCTCACGATCTTGTCTCGACCGAAATTACGATCGCGACCTCTTCGTGACTCTGCATCATGAAAGCTGATTCATCTCGAAGGGGAACAATCCGGAATAATTGAAAATAGAACACATAAAATATTTAATAAATCAAATAATTTATGTACCAACTCTATGGAATCTATTATTACATTAAATCTATATTGAAATAGTACTTGTTGGTAACAGCAACCAAGATTGTATAATGATTAATTAATTACGTAATACTTCTTTTTCCTTTCTCTCGAGGCGAAACGTGATTATGCGTTTGCGCCAATTGCAGAGCAATGCTATTGACGCGCATGTTTCGAGCCGCGAGCTTGAAGATAGGCAACGAACAATAATCCGACAAAGAATAATGGATAGCAATGAGGTATTGTCCCGTGTCGCTTTCAACGAGTCCAATTAAAGCGCGTCCTTCCGTCGGCTTAAAGTCAGAGACGCGGTGGAGTTTTTTCACCGGCAACGAGTGGGATGGAGAATTGTGTAACCCTAGGTTTCAATAATAAAAGTCTCGTTACGTTTTGCGTTTACGCTCGCTATAAATTATCACGTTTCCCGTCCGAATGTTTTTTTTTGTCCGATAGCGATTGCGCGTCGCGGAATAATTAAAGCATAACGAATTGACAATGTGGTAAAATTCGTATTGATTTTCCCGCGACCTTTTCTGTTCCCAACAATATATCATATTTACCGATATTATATTAGGTCTACCGGAAAGTTCTGTCCGTTTTTGGAATAAAACAAAATACAAATTTTTATTACCGTCAATAAACTTTATTAAATAATGTAATTTCCATTATTATTAATGATTTCTTGCCAGCGTGAGGGCAATTTGTATATCCCTTTTTCGAAAAATGTTTTATCTTTTGATGCGAACCAGTGCTTGTTTGATATCTTGTTCCTTTTTGAATTTTTTGCCCCTCAAAAAATTTTGTAAGGACAAAAACAAGTGATAGTCGGTGGGTGCTAAGTCCGGGGAATATGGTGGATGCGACAGAATTTCCCAGCCTAGTTCTGCACTTTTTTGACGAGTCCCCAAAGCAGCATGTGGGCCTGGCATTATCATGATGCAGTATGATGTTCTTCCTATTGGACATCGCCGGCCTCTTTTCTTGGACTGCTGTATTTAAATTATCCAGTTGCTGACAATACTTCTCCGAATAATGGCAATTACATTATTTAATAAAGTTTATTGACGGTAATAAAAATTTGTATTTTGTTTTATTCCAAAAACGGACAGAACTTTCCGGTAGACCTGATATATACATAAACATGATTGTATCATAATGTACAATTTATTTCTAAAAATAAATGTAAATTGATTTTGATGAATTACAGTTTATGGAAGTCATTGATAAAGTAGGTGGTGACACAGAGTCCAGTCACATGGAGTTACATAAATTGTTCAATGAACAAGGTTATTCTGATTATGTTGTTGTCTATCTTAGATTAATTACATCTGGTCAGCTGCAACGCGATGCAGACTTCTATCAACACTTTATTGAAGGGGATCGCACTGTTACAGAATTCTGCCATCAAGTTTGTATCTTGATATTAACATTCATATTTTTATTCTCATATTTGCATGATTAATTCTTTTATATTAACATTAAATTTATAACAAATATACATTTATATTTTTTGTAGGAAGTTGAACCAATGTATAAAGAATCTGACCATATTCATATTATAGCAATGAGTAGTGCTTTAGGAACTGGTGTTAGAGTTCGTTATATGGATAGAGGTGCAGGAACTGAAGTAACTGCCCACGATTTTCCTGAAGGCGCCATACCAGCTGTGCACTTATTATATCGCCCTGGTCATTATGATATTCTTTATCCTTGATGAATTTGGCATTATGCAAATTTTTCTAATATTACAAAAATGATTTTCGATGACCAAATCTATATTTAAAATTCAATTTTTAAAAGCATCTGAATTATAATGCATAATGCACTACAATATATTCTCTTTAATTTAGTAAGAGAGAAATAAGTTGGTTTTGTGTACACAAAGAGTTTGTGCATTGTGTATATTTTTCAAAATCTACCTAAGTGCATTTTCATAAATTCATTATCATACCTGTTATTTCTATACATAAGCGCATAAAACACAAAACATTTTAAACTTTAAAATTAATTATCTGAAATAAATGGCAGAGAAATCGACAAATTGTGCTATTTAATACCTATATTTTTTTTTTATTTTCTCTTCCAATAAATCCATGCAGGAGGTATTACACAAATCATATTATTTATACTGTACATTTGTAATACAAAATAAATGATATTTTGTTACTATAGTATTATTTATTAAATAATATATGTAATATATGCTCTTTCTTTTTTTTCTTTATATAAATGTATATATTCTTTATAGAAATGAAAAACATTTTATAAATTTTGTACATTTGGTAATATGAAAAATCTATTATGGGAGTTATGTGAGTTACGTATAAACAAATTATTTCTTTTTAAATTATCTATTCTCAAACTTAAAATTAATAATTAACAAATTCTGCGATATATAAGTTTTATATTATACACACATACACACACATATATATAGATCCTGTAGAGAGATGTTTATTTATACATACAAGGGCTGCCCATAAAGAAACCGAATTTTAAAAAAGCGCTCGAATGCGATGGCGTGGGCCATCCGCCTTGTGGCACTGTATAGTGGGGTTCTTTAATAACTCTCTCACACGCTATCGTTCTTAGTTTATATTTTATGATGGCTTGAATGAAATTGTGTCCAGCGTTTGTGGCGATTTTTTGTTTTTGGAAAAGTGCGTAGGGGTCCCATAGCGAATTTTTCTTAATCTCTTCTATTGTTTAAAAACTGTGGCCTTTCAAGGTCGATTTTAGTTTTTTTAAACAAGAAAAAGTCCGCAGGAACCAAATCGGGAGACTGATGGGGGGGGGGGGCTGCGAAACAATAATCGTCGCGTGTTTTGTCAAAAACTAGTTGATAAGGAACAACGCATGTGCAGGTGCATTGTCGTGGTACTATGAATTGCTGGCTCATGCCTCCGGCCGCTTCTTTTTCACTGCCTTTAAAACAAAATTTAACACACTCACACATTGTTCTTCAAGAACCTTCTGTTCTTTCGTTTAGAAAATCGTCGCGAATGCCGAACACAATCTCATTCAAGCCATCATAGAACGTAAACTAAGAACGATAACGTCATGCTCTTAGTGTGAGAGAGTTGCTAAAGAACCCACCCTATTACACAGTGCCACAAGGTGGATGGCCCTATGCCATCGCATTCGGGTGTTTTTTTTTAAAGTTCGGTTTCTTTATGGACAATCCTCGTATATATAATATATAAATATATATTTATATATAAATACAACTCGATAAATACATATATATATATATTTTTTTTAAATAATATGTTATCGTTGCATGGATCGTACTTGCTCAGTAACTTCTTCCAACAGTGCAGAATTTTTGTCAATTGCATCCATTTGGTACTCTAAATGAGTACTAATAAGTGTAAGTTTCTTTAAACTAGATTCTATCATTTCTAACCCATGTTCCTGCTGTGCAAAATTTCTTGCTGCATGCATTAAAATCTATAAAAATATAGTAGAGTATATATATATAATATAGAAATATTAGTTTAATATTCTAACATCAGCCGATGTAGAAATATGATTCAAGAACCTTCTGTTCTTTCGTTTAGAAAATCGTCGCGAATGCCGAACACAATCTCATTCAAGCCACCATAGAACGTAAACTTCATGCTCTCACACTAAGAACGATAACGTCATGCTCTTAGTGTGAGAGAGTTGCTAAAGAACCCACCCTATTACACAGTGCCACAAGGTGGATGGCCCTATGCCATCGCATTCGGGTGTTTTTTTTTAAAGTTTGGTTTCTTTATGGACAATCCTCGTATATATAATATATAAATATATATTTATATATAAATACAACTCGATAAATACATATATATATATATTTTTTTTAAATAATATGTTATCGTTGCATGGATCGTACTTGCTCAGTAACTTCTTCCAACAGTGCAGAATTTTTGTCAATTGCATCCATTTGGTACTCTAAATGAGTACTAATAAGTGTAAGTTTCTTTAAACTAGATTCTATCATTTCTAACCCATGTTCCTGCTGTGCAAAATTTCTTGCTGCATGCATTAAAATCTATAAAAATATAGTAGAGTATATATATATAATATAGAAATATTAGTTTAATATTCTAACATCAGCCGATGTAGAAATATGAATTAAGAAATAGTATTACCTCACTGCTTTTTGAACCTCGCTGTATCTGTCTGGCAAGAGAAGCAATGTTATTTACATTAACTTGCACTCTATCTGCTAGTCTCATCTTTGATTCAATGAACAAGCTACGTGCGCTTGTACTGGACGCTGAAGCCATTGTATCGTATTGCTTTTCATTAATTGTGATATAAGTTCGGTTCTTAACGTTATCCAGGCCTATTGATAGACTATGTGCTTTTGATTAATATACTTACAATAGAAACACTATTTCATACTCTGAAATAAACGTTATATGATTGTGACTATATGTTTCTTACAATCTGCACATTAGTATAGAATATATATATGTTAGCATATATATTTTTTACCATAGCAAATATCTTTCATTTATGCATTGTGTCATTTGACGCATCGTATGTAAGGACCTTAGAACATATATAAATGGAAGGGGAATAGCAGGCTGAAGTGTCGGAAGGAAGTGAGAAAGAAATCGTAGTTGCCTCTCTCTTCGATTGCTACTGAGCGGTTTTCTCTGCTGAACGCGCCCACTGTTTACGGAGCTGTATGCAAAAACGATTGCTAACGGTTTTCGCCAAAAATTTCGAAACACGTATGTGTATATATATATATATATATATATCCGTATCGCCTATATGTATATATAGATGCATACATTTCACTTGCAGGAAAATGCTCAAGTTTAATCGCGAAATCGCGACGTAAAGATGTTTCGAACGCCCCTGTTATTTTAGACTAAGCGCATCGCAGTGATCCAATTTTGGAGGGTCATGTGTCTCACGCTCGGTGAAGTGGTCAATATACATTGATAACGTGTATCTTCCGTTCGTGCAGCGGATATTTCTTCGTAGCATAAGATGGCCAGTCGGGATCCGTCTGTTTCGTCCAAAATCATGGACGATCATAGCGTCGAGGTTAGCGACAGAAGACGCCTACATTCTCTTTCTTAGCTATGTTTTTATTATTTGTTTTGCGAAAAACGTGCAGCTCAAAATGGATAGAATTAATGTTACTTTTTAAAACGTAGCAACAATCGCAATATTTTATTATAATGTCTTTCCTTATCCATAAGATTATGACAATATTTTTACTCTTGGATTTTGCATTGACGAGTTGTCATTTTAGAACTCTCTGACAGCGTTGCACACTAGTATTTTTGTAATGAAATTTTGTAATATAAAGTTGGTGCAATAATTAGATTTATTATGATTTTATAGTAAGACATAGTCCTTTATACATATATAAAATTGAATTAAATATTTTAATTGTTATTTTAGCATTATAATTTGTTGTATCATAATGAAATTTTACAATATAAGATTAAGAATGCATTTTCTTTGATGTTATAAAAGTTGTGATTTGTTTGATTAATCAATAAGTATGAAAGTGGCAAAGATTCCCTTGTTCTAATTGATCAATCAAATCTTTTAAAATTTTATAACATTGGATGGAACACACTCTGATTAATAAGTGAAAATTGCATAGTTTGCATATTTTCTGTTATAGACATTAGCAGAAGTTTTCCGATGTTTTATTTGTATGGAAAAGCTGAGAGATGCGCACCTCTGTCCCCATTGCAGTAAATTGTGCTGCTATACCTGTATCAGGAAATGGCTCACCGAGCAACGTTCCCAATGTCCTCACTGCCGGGCTTCTCTCCATTTACATGAACTAGTGAATTGTCGCTGGGTTGAAGAAGTGACCCAACAACTTGATACACTGCAAGCTGTTTGCATATCCAACTTTCGGCACGATGATTCTAGTCGAGACAGGTTTGAGTGTAACATTTTATGTGTATATTTAGCTTTGAAATTTATATTAACTTTGAAAAAAATATAAATATTTATATATACACTATGGAACAATTAAGTTTTGAGACTTTCGTATAAAAAATTTATTTTTAATCGTACAAATCTTAGACAGTTAAAAAGTTTCAATGTAGTCACCACTATAACTCGACATACTTAGTCCAATGTCTCCGCCATTGCTCAAAGCAGCTCTGATAATCCTCTGAAGCAAGCCCTTTCAAAATTTAATTCACGTTTCTTTTTATCATGTATCTTCAAAACGTTACTCTTATGCATAGCTGAGTCTCCATAGGCTTGTTGATCATTTGATCATTTGTAACATTTCTGTTGGCGGCTTCTCTAATTTAACGCAAAATTTAATATTGGCGCGTTATTCAAGTGTTCCTTTCATTACACCAATTTTTAAACAAAATTTTGTATTACAACTTTGCGTGACTGTATCTTATTAACTATTGAACCAAATAATTTAGAACTTGCACCATGTGTTGAGTATTGAGTTGTGAATAATCCCCTAAGATAGCAGGACAAACGGACCAAACGTTCGGAAATGCGAAGCGGATCTCAAAACTTAATTGTTCAATAGTGTATATATGCTTATTTTTTTATTTTATATTTAAAATATTAATTTAAATATTATTTTTAATTTCGCATTATATATATAAAAATACTTCTCTTTATATACTATGTATATATGGAAAAATTATTTGAAAATATTATTATCATAGATGCACAGTGCATCAAGAGAAATTATCTGTGTATTGCTGGACTTGCCGCAAATGTATCTGTCATCAATGCGCTCTGTGGGGTGGCACTCATTCAGGACATACCTTCAAACCCTTAGAAGATGTTTACGAGCAACATGTTACTCAGATCAAAGCCGAAGTAGGCCAATTAAATAGACGACTCATGGAACTGATTAGCCTTGTTCAAGAAGTGGTATGTACGTTTGATAAATTTTAACTATAGGAAAATAGGAAAAAAGAGATTTAAAATGTAGTACAAGGGTACAGAAGCATATGTATCTATGCGCTTTGTAATTCTCAGTTATACTCGTCTGTTACTAGGAGAGAAACGTCGAATCGGTAAGAGCGGCAAAGGACGAGAGGGTCAGAGAGATCAGAAACGCGATCGAATTAATGATAGCTCGCCTGGACTCTCAGTTGAAGGCCAAGCTACTGACTTTGATGGGTCAGAAAAATTCATTGACTTTGGAAACCGAGCAGCTGGAAGCGCTACTGCAAGAGGTAGAATATCAATTGCACACATGCACACGCTCCGAACTAATCGCCAAAAGTGCCGAGCTCTCGCGCAAGATACATCAGGTTCGCAAGAAGCCAATGACGAGTTTCGTCACTGCGCCCGTACCTGCCGACTTTCATAGGTAAGACTTAAAAGATTTATGCAATGCTTATTTATAATTATTTATATTATGCCATAAGTGTGTGTATAATGATTAAGGATTACTTTTTAATTTTCTATTGGTTCTATTCCAGCGAAATTGTGCCAGGTTACGACAGCGCGACGTTTGCCATGCAAAACTTCACTCAGCTTCAACTAAAGGCTGACCCGGTGTATTCTGCGCCTTTGCACGTGAACGGACTGTGCTGGCGACTAAAGGTATATCCGGATGGTAATGGAGTTGTGCGCGGAAATTATTTGTCAGTATTCTTAGAGCTCAGCGCTGGACTGCCAGAGACATCAAAGTACGTTAATTTAGAAGTGATGAATTGTATAATCCCTGTAATATAAATTATACAGAAAATTGTACAAATACAGTTATACAATTCTATTATTTGAAAATGTGGAACTCTGCCAATGGCAGATGTCTGATTTTTAAAATACTCTTTGTAGGTACGAATACAGAGTTGAAATGATACATCAAGGATCTCGTGATACGAGTAAGAACATCGTTCGTGAATTTGCATCTGATTTCGAGATTGGTGAATGTTGGGGATATAACAGATTCTTCAGATTAGATTTACTCGCAACGGAAGGTTACTTAAATACAGAGCTGGATACTCTTATATTAAGGTATTTTTTTATATTATTTAGAATAGTACTTTCCAATCAATATAATAATACTAAGTTTCTTTTATACCTTTCCTTTTAGGACTCGAAATAAATTCGATCAAATTTTATATTAATACGAAAAACACTCGAGAGATTTATTTTTATAGAAATTTCTTTTCTATAAATTAAAACTATTACTGTTATAACAACTGTCAAAACTATAAACACAATATTATATTTAATTGGTTTAATAGATTTCAGGTGCGACCACCGACATTTTATCAACGCTGTAGAGATCAACAGTGGTATATTAGCCAACTACTGACATTTCAAAATCAATACACCACTCAGATCAACGAATTAAAAGAGGTAAATTATATATTTAGAATAAAATTCATATTACGATTATGATAAATCTATTTGGTTTATTAAGAAATATGTATGTGTGTATGTTGTATAATTAAAAAGAAATGTATTGTAATAATTCCAAAATATGTTATATATAATATATAGGTTAATTAATTATTCAATTTTTTTTTAGAATATTTTCTTTGTGTAAATATTTTATGTTAGATTAATAGACATTTTTTTTATATTTACAGAGATTAGCGATAGAAATATCCCGCAATGCTATAACAGCTACTAGAGCTACTAGTGGAACTACAATGTGCGGTTCAACTGCAAACACGTCATCTTTGTCTGTGCAGCAACAGCAGCAGCAACAACAACAGAATGCAGGCGACTCAACGACCAATTCGAACGTTATACGAACAATTGACACATATCCTACTGCAAATGGAACACCAATAAGGTATAATATTGCAATCTATTTTACGTCAGATTAATTGAATCCTGTTTCTCGGACAATGTTTCAATTTATGGCAAATGTCCGAATTTTTAAACGAGTTACATTACAATGTAAAGTTCATATGTATAAATTGTGTCATTTTTTCGAAAATTGTATGAAAATTAAAAAGGATGGGAAATTGAAACAGAGAGAGAGAGAGAGAGAGAAATAGTGAAACTTGATAGTTTGAATAGTAATTTTTCAATTATCTGAAAATAAAAGATCGTAAGTTTCCTCAATCTTCTAAGTGAGAATATTTTTAATAACGACATATATTTTGTGTTTCGAATAGATCCATACCAAGCACGTTTTCCAGTAATAACAACAGCAACACAATAATACCGAGCGATCAATTATTGTCAATGTGCGAATTAAATGAGCTCTCGAGTATGCATCTCCTCGATTCTACTACGTCGACGTTGTTAAAAACGTCGTTAAAGACACACCGTGCTAGCAACAATTTAAATATCATCGAGGCTGAGAGTAGTCCATCGCCGCGTCGCGCCAACGATGTGTCGCTCGGGGAATGTCTAGCTGCGAAGACACGCTTGACCTTCTCGTCATCGCCCTATTCATCGCCCGGTGACGTACTCACCGGTCAGCAGCCATTGAATCTATTGTTCAATAACAGTACCAGCGATCCCTTATTATCTATGTCGACGTTATCGTCAGTGACAGACAACCAACGAATCAACGGCTGCTTGACCGTCACGAAAAGCGAAGCCGCGCAACGTTGCACGAACGATGCGTCACCGGGTGAATGC